CGTGCACTCACCAGAAAGAGAGACAGAAAGCGAGAAATCACCCCCCAGGGGGGATGGTGATGCTGTAATCGCTTCTCCATTCTCTTCTTGGGATCTTGGGCACACATAAACATGCACCCAGCGTGAGTTTAAGCCATCAGGTCCAGGACTCGAACTGCAGTTGACTACATGGGAGTCCAGCAACATAGTCATTATGCCAACTGCTGCTCCCAAACTTGCCTTTAAAAAAAAAGTTTATTTCCTTCATGAGCAACAAAGACAGAGACAGACAGAGAGCATTCCTAACAGAGTCTTCATGTTGCCATCCACCCTAGCCTCCGCCAGCTCTGGATCACAGGTGCGTTGATCCTGGCATTCTCAAGGAGATGCCTAGACGTGAACGTGGGACCTTCCCATCTGGATCTGCCTTGTAGAGTGTCCCATTTTACTTCTGTGCTATCATCAGGCCCCTGCTCTTGCTGTTGACTACTTAAATTTTTTTTTTCTTTTTTAAATGGCATTTTTATTGGAATTGGCTCTTTGAGAGAAAGGTAGACTGGGTTAAGCAATAACATAATTCTCCAGCTTCATTGTCCAGGGTGGTAGGTAGCCCAAGACAGTCACATGTGACTGTGAGGAGACTTCAGTTCATGAAAAATAGCGTGGAAGTATGAGTTTATTTTGGTGCAAAACTTTTTGGGAAATCCATGCATGATTTTTTTCATAATACACATTTTTCATGCCTTTAGAAGGTCCCTTCTACTTAAATTGATTAGGATTAAGTAACATAATAAAATTCCACTCCTCAGTCACGCCAGCTGCATCTCGGTGGCCCATCAGCTGTGCGTGCGGCTGCCAGCTCCGCCAGCCCAGATGTGACACGCGGCTGCTGTCACAGGCAATTCAGTTGCATGCGCTGTCTCTAGAGAGCTAGGTCTTCACAGAGTATGTAAATGAGAAGATCGTCTCTTTGCAGGATGTGGTACTTGAGGAGAAAGACCTCATGGTCCTTATGAGGAGTTGGAGCTCTGCCCTGGAGAGCCCTGTCCCCAAAGACAGTGTTCCAACACCACGACACCAGGCTCTGGCCTTGGCCTGTGTGTGTGTGTGTGTGTGTGTGTGTGTGTTCTTTTTTCTCCTTTACCTGGCTCCTAACTAAGGGTGCTTTGTTCTTTTTTATAATTGTTGATGGTTTTGGCAGTTTTTATTTTATTTTTTATTTATTTATTTATTTTTATTTTTTATTTTTTTGGAGAGGTTTTCACTATAGGGCGCTTGCGAGCTGCGGTTAGTTGAGGACACCCCATGGAAGTAGATTTTTTTTTTTTTGGAGAGGTTTTTGCCATACGGCACGTGCACTCGCCAGACAGAGACAGAGAGACAGAAAGTGAGAAATCACCCCCTGGGGGGATGGTCACGCCGCAATCCCTTCTCCTCCATTCTCCTCCCGGGATCTTGGACACGCACGCACATGCTCCCAGCGTGAGTTCTAAGCCACTGGGTCCGGGACGTGAACCGCGGTTGACTACGTGGAAGTCCAGCGACATAGCCATTACACCAACTGCTGGTTCCTGGCAGTTTTTATTTTTAACTTTTTTTTTTTTATAGATTTTTTCTATAGCGCATATGCACTAGCTAGAGAGCGAGACAAAGAGATAGAAAGTGAGAAATCACCCCTTGGGGGGAAGGCCATGCTGCAGTCCCTTCTGCATTCTCCTCTTGGGATCTTGGGCACACATATACATGCTTCTGGCATGAGTTTTAAGCCACCAGGTCTGGGACTCAAACAGCTGTCGACTACATGGGAATCCAGTGACATAATCATGCTATCACTAAGCCCTATTTTAAAATTTTTAAAGTGTCTTTTTTTAAAAATTTTAATTGCCAGAGGGTGCTTATACTCACCATAAAGAGAAGGAAAGACAGAGGGAGAGAGAGAGGAAGAAAGTACCCCCTCCAGGGAGCAGGGCCACATGCAGCTCATCTCCTCCCTCTCTTTGGTTTTGGGATTTTACACAGCCTGGCCAGCCCTGTGGGAGCTGGCTTCCTTAATCACTAGGTCATAGGGCCAGTTCTTGTATTGGCAGTTTGATAGTACCTGAAAGGCCGAGTCCCACTCAGCTGTGGGGTAGGGTATGAGAGAAACAACCAAGCCAGGTTTGCCCAGGATTTTATGTGGTAATCTTCCTACGCTTAATGTTTCTTCTGTTCTGGTGCCGATACATGCTAATTTGGGAATGGAAGTATATGGGCAGATGGTTTGGGAAGAAATGCCAGAGAAAGAGGACCTAAAGCCATTCTTTGTTTTTTAAAGATCACACTCACAAATTTGGTATCGGTCAATGAGAGACTGGTATATACACCTCATCCGGAGAATCCTGAAATGTGAGTTGTCTTGTGCTGGGATTGACACATTGAACACCGAGGTGAGGGCGGGGAGGCTTCCCTTCTCTCAGGGCTGCTCAGCCTTTTTCCTTCGTGCTCTTCTGCAGGACTGTGCTCACACAAGAAGCCATCATCACTGTGAAGGGGATTAGCCTCGGCAGTTATCTGGAAAGTTTAATGGCCAGCACGATATCATCCAATGCAAAGAAGGTATGGACCTCAATTCTGGGGACCCCGTGTGAGTGCTCTTATTGTACTGGGTTAAGTGGGTGACATATTTAGTCCCATAAATCCTCCTAGCTGCTGTCCGTAGCTGAGCTCGTAATGCCACAGTAGTCCTGCAGTTACATTTGAAACCAGTGGTGGGGAAGGGCTGGCCCAGGTCTGACGGGTGGTGAGTCTGTGGAAGCCAAGACATGGCACATGGCTGCTCTCACAGAGAATTGCACTGTCAGGAGGGAAAGCGTGGGGTAAATCCCAGGTATGCAACTGTCATTTCAGAGCCCAAATAGCCTAGGCTTGGTTACCTAAGCAAACACACCCACAACATCAGAGAGAGAATGCACATTAATACTGTCAGGCAGGATAGTCAGGACTTCCGGTAGCTTCATAGCTTCATGTTTAATAGACGTGGAGTGGCTTTGGCAGCACCCCTCCAGCTGTCATGCTTCCTGGAGGCGGCTGCCATCTTTGTTTCTCCCTCGGGCATGATTTGGGGATGAGCTTTGTGAAGGTAAGAGGAGAAAGGATGACTTCCAGGAGGTTGTCCATGGCTCTCCTTATGTACCCGGGTCACTGGAATGAGACAGGTTACTCATGGAGTCTGGTTGATGGAAAGAACTCAGATGTTTGGAAGGAGGATGCTCCTAAATCCAGGGATGCTGCTCTTAGAGCAGGGCCTTTGCTGTTGACCTTGGCTCTCCTCAAAGGCTGATGTCCTCCCTTTGTCTGTTCCCCCACCCCTGACTCCTTCCTCCCTCCCTCTTCCTCATCTTTTTGTTTTTTGCTCAGAAGTGAGTCTTTATTTTCTGGGTCAATGGAGTGATGCCCGAGGCTGTACTTCCCTTTTTTCCATGCATAAGTCACCAATGAGCAGAAACCACTCAGGGCTTGCACTTAGTCCACATACTCACAGAGGAGCCATTCCACCCAATTTCGATAAACATCCAGATTTGAGAAATACAGGCAGTGACTTGGCTCAGTTTGTGGGAGGCAGGGCAGCAAAGGCCAAACAGGTGGAGCTTTGTCTGTGCCAGAGCGCTCATGGGAAGAACAGAATCTCATGCATCTTTGAGTTTTCAGGACTGGCTTAGGGCAGAAGTCCTAAACGTTTGCCCCCAAAAATAGGAGGAAGGAAATATTTAGTGCAATGCCATTAAAATCTTTTATGAGAAAAAAATCCAGGTAAATTCAGTGAGGCCAAATTAGCTTTTTTTCATTTCACTTACTCAGGGGTTCTTGTATTGAAGTCTTTTCCTTCTGGAATTATTTAACTTTATTTATTTAAATTTGACCAGAGAGGGATAGAGTGTGTGTGTGTGTGTGTGTGTGTGAGAGAGAGAGAGAGAGAGAGAGAGAAGGGAGAGAGAGAGAGAGAAAGCAAGCCGCCAGGTCCGGGACTTGAACCATGGTCAGCCATGTGGGAGTCTAGAACCCTTAACCACCATGCCACCTGCCAGCTCCACTTATATTGGAGTCTTAAGAGAGAAATCACTCTCTCCCCCTAGCAAGCGAAAGGAGTTCTCCTTGTAGCTTAAGTTACCATTTACATCATCCCCTGCTGAGTTGAGGGTGCTCTCTTTTATGCCTGGAAACATCTAGGGGTAGAGGAGATGGAGGTAGAGGTGCAGGTGGAGGTGTCATTCTGGGCCTTCCCTGCCTCCATGTGCCTGCCTCAGTGCTGGGATCTTGGAGGACGGGACACACTTGCAGGCCTCTCTAGATGAGGACTTGCATACTGTGCTAAGAGGGCGATGATGCTGGTGTAGTCCAAGCTGGTGCCTCGATTTGCTAACATAGAGGATTCCAGGCACTGAATACGCATTGCCTTTTCTCTGAGCTTCAGGCACTGCCTGCTTCTGTGAAACGGGAAGGTTACCGCTGTGTTTCCTTTAGAGCTGCAGTGCTTCCCTTGTGCAATTTCAATTACAGGCTGTAGCTGTCTGCAGTGAGGAGCAGCATGTATCAAACCACACTGAAATCTCTCTGTGTTGTTGCAGGGGTGGGCTGCTATTGAGTGGATAATTGAAAATTCTGAAAGTGCCGTGAGCTAACGGGGACTACATCTGCGCCTTGTGACAAACAGTGGTAACTACAGTACTGATTAACCTGGTATAGAATTTTAGTGTTTTATTAACTGTGTGTATGATGTGTAGGGGGTTCAGAGGATGCTTAATGCAGGTGCATGTCAGTCTCCAGGCCTGGGCTTTTTAGTGCCTTCTGCAGTGAGACCAAACACTGGGTTCATCCTCTCTCTGTTTCATTTGTTTTATGGCAAGATTTATTTTTAGGAGAACCTTAAATTCTTGTTGTTTTGTTGTTGTTGTTGTTGTTGCCGTTGTTTTTCTTTTTTTAAGTTTGTTTTTCTTTTTTTAAGTTTGTTTTTCTTTTCTCCATGAGCAAGAGAGACAGAGCCAGACAGACACCCCCAGAAGAGTCTTGATGCCCTGATCCCCCTTCAGCCTTAGCCCTGGATTATGGGCACATGTGGACCTGGCCTATTCAGGGAGGTCTCTGGACACGCACCTGGACCCTTCCCATGTGGGTCAGCCTTACAGAGCGTCACGTTTATTGCTGCTTCACTGCTGGCCCCTTACGCAGTTGTTAGCCAGTGTCTGATGAAGGCAGTTTATCATTCCCACAAGCTGTTCTCAGTACCTGGTTGCTTGAACATTCCTTGTAACTTAAACCAGTTTGTGAAGACACTCCATCAATAGGCCCCCAGAAAGTGTTAAAGACTGATCTGATAAGAGGGACTTTTCATTTTGAGTAAATTTGGACATGTTCAAGGGCCAATAAATGGCTTAGCGGTTATGTCACTGGACTCCCACATGGCCGACCACAGTTAGAGTCCTAGGCCCAGTGGCTTGAGACTCATGCCAGGTACATATATGTGCCCAAGATCCTGGGAGGAGAATGGAGGAGAAGAGATTGTAGTGTGGCTATCGCCCTGAGAGGTGATTTCTGTCTTTCCCTCTACTGTCTCTGTCTTTCTCTGGTGTGTCCATGTGCCCTAAGGCAAAAAAAAAAAAAAAAAAAAGAAAAGAAAAAATTTGCACATGTTCTTGTGAAGAATATTTTACATCCATCTCTTCACTTGCTATAGCTAGTGCTCAGCCATGTGGCTGCCACTGGCCATTTTCTTGTAGTGACAAAAGCCATTTCTTGCATTTCCCTGAGCTTTACAAACCCTCCTTGGTTCCTGAAGCCATCAGTGGTGGACTGTCAGAAGTGGATTTGCCCCAGTGAGCCAGCACCCACTGGGTCATCTCCATAGTGTTTCCTACACCCTTTGCTTAGGGACTTCTCTTGCTGTGAAATGCCTCATCCCTGTTAGTTGCTGTGCTGTGCTGCTTTGGGCCCTGCTTCCCACTGTCTGTCCATCTGTCTGTCTCCAGTATGTGTGTGCTGCTTAGTCCTCTCTGTTAGCAAATGAGCCGTGTGGTTTGAGACATCCTTAAGAACTTCTTCCTGAATTTGTCCAAGTCACCAAAGCTGAGGTTTGCAGACTTTACCCTTGGATCCAAGGACATGCACTGCCCTTGGCCCACCCCTATCCCATGGCCTTGCCCTGAGTTGAGCTCACTGTGCATATGTGCATGCATGTGTGCACATGTGCACGTGCATGATGGCCATACCTAAAGTGAGTTGTAGGCACCTCAGGTTGTTTTCTCATAAACCACAGCTAAATTGCCTCCATCTTTACTCAGATACCTCACTGAGAAAATCAAAGAAGGAAGAAAGAAGAACCAAAGGAAGAAATAAAGGAAGAAGGGAAGAAAAAAGGAGATGAAAGGAAGGAAGGAAAGAATGAAGAAAGGAACCGATGCTGGATGTGGCTGACCGGCCCAGTCTGGGAGCAGTGGAATAGCTAGGATGGGCCTTGAGGGCTCCCCGGGGGACTCCCAGTCAGGAGGTGGCAGGGCAGGCGCAGAGAGCTCCAGGCCAGCACAGGGTGGTCAAGGCAGGGTGAGAGCCTCATAGCCACCTCTCCACCTGGCCCCAGCCTGCTGGGCCAGGCCTGAGTCCCCGTGGTTTCGTTGTTCTCCTGCCTTCACTGATTCTCCTCTTAGCAGCAGCTCCCGTCTCTTTCAGGTGATCTCCTGTCCCCTGGAGTCCATGGCCAGTGCTGTCCCCCAGTTGCCTTATGGTACATCGTCCTCCTGGCTTCACAGATGTGGCTTCTCCTCGCTGCAGAGAGGGAGGCTTCCGGTGGGGTCTTCTCTGGTCCCTTCTCTAGATGCACCAAGAAGGAAGCAGGGTCTGATCGCTGAGCTTCCCCCGATACCTCTTCTGCAGCCTGGTTCAGCTTGTCCTGAGAAAACTCCTCATCTCTCAGAGAGGAGAGTGGGGCCTCAGGGCTAACTCCCTTTCCACTGGCCATGAATAGCCCCTCCAGCCTGCCCCCACCCCTGCCCCAGTCCACCCACCAATACCGCTAGCCATACCTCTTCCTTCTGGGGCTGGAAGTCACAGACACCTCCTTTTACTGAAGTTTGTGCTCCTGTTTTTCTCCTAACAGTTTTGTGGGATTTCAGGGGCAAGGCTAAAGGTCTTTTTGCTATCATCTTTAAGTCAGTGATGTTTAAAACAACATTAACTTAAAAAAATACATGTAAAAGCAATTCATGGTGATGGTAGAAAAGTAAGTGCACGGGATTCTCCCGAAGAGTAGAGTCTCCCTCCCTCGCAGCCAGTTGCCCCTTTTCTATGAAGCCTTCCAGAAACTTTCTGAGCATGAAAGTGTGTGTATGTTTTTTTGTTTTTCTCCTTTTATTAAAAACAATATCCTACCCTGTGTACTGATTCGTGCCTTTTTTCTAATCCCGGAAGGTGCGCATGGGTTTAATGGCATAGAGTCGGGCTAGGCCCGTAGTGCAGTGGTTTAGTGCTACACAGAAGCCAGATCCTACACAGCCAACCTGAGTGTGAATCTAAACTCAGGGGCTCTCACTGCCACCCCGGCCCACGGGATCCTGTCTTCCGCGCCGAGACTTTGTGTGCCACTAATGTCGCAGCTGGACTGCATGCACACTTCACTGGATTTCATTATCTTCCCCTCACCACAGACCTTAGGCCGAATTTAGGAGGTGGGCGTTTCATTCTCTCTCTATAACAAGTAACACAAAATACCCCAATTTTAGAATATGAAAAGAGATTCATTTTTAAAATTTAAGAATTATTTTATTTATCTTTATTTAGTTGTTTGTTTTAATTTGACCAGAGAGAGAGGGCCGGGGGGCGGGGAGTGAGAAAGCAAGCTGCCAGGTCCGGGACTTGAATTGTGGTTGACCTTAACCACCACACCAACTGGTTGGACCCTTTAATTTCTTTTTTTGAGAGAGATTTTTGCTATAGGATGTTTGTGCTCACTGGAGAGACACAGAGAGATAATGAGGAACCACTCTCCAGGGGGATGGCCATGCCACAATTCCTTCTCCATTCTCTTCTTGAGATTTTGGGCACGCACACACACACACATTCTGCTTGAGTTTTAAGCCACTGGGTCTGGGACTTGAACCACAGTCAATTACGTGGGAGGCCAGTGATGTAGTCATTATACCATCTGCTGGTCCCACTATCTTTAAATAAATAAATAAATAAATAAATAACCATGCCAACTACCTTAGTTTTTCTGAAGAGAAATGAGTCCCTCTGAAAACCTAGTAATTTTGTTAACATCGTATTAATTTCCTGAGGTTTGCACACACCCCCACACAGTTGACAAAAGCAGAGAGTCAAATCTCGCGTTCTGTCTGTCCCGTTTCCAGCACTACATCCTTACTGTGGCCCAGGGGGTCGGCAGGAGGGAGAGTTGAATACAGTAGGTACTGGATCAACTGTGCCATCCACACCGGAAATGAGTGGGGTGATGTTTAAGAGAAGCCTCATTTTCTGCTCCGTGAGCCAGCTTTCCCAGAGCGGTGAGTGCCTGTGGTGTGTGACTTCGAAGGCTGGTCCCTGAAAGACAAGGGGCTCGCACCCTGCTGGCTCTGCATCTGTCACTGCTGTGTGGAGCATATGTGAGGGGCCCTTTAGAGGTTGCTGTGGTGAGGCAGCCTCAGAACAGTCTTCAGTGACTGCATCTGACCCCTCCACTGCACCGTCACGAGGGATTCTGGGCCAGAACTATCTAGCTAAAACTGTTCCTGAATTTCTGACCCACAGACTTGTGAGACAATAAATGTTTATTCTTTTCTTTTTTTTTCTCTTTCATTTATTTATTTTAAATGTTTATTCTTTCAAGCCACACAGCTCTGGGTACTTCTCTGTAATGGGTCACAGATACATCGCCTTCCACCACACTTGTACATCCACCTTCTAGCTGGTCTCCCTGCCCTGCTCCCCATTACGTTACTCCAAAGCACCCTACCATACCTTTCCTTGGTGACATAGCCCGAGTAGCTTCTTACTCTTCTTTATGCCTTTTTGAAGACTCAAAACCAAGGCTGAGGCACTGGCACGGATGACTGATGTAGAGGGTCAGCAGAGGGCACTTTGAGAAAAAGCTGACCACCTCCCTCCTCTGATCCCAGCTTAAAATCTATTTCCATAGGGGACCAGCAGTTAGCGTAATGGCTATGTCGCTGGACTCCCACGTAGTTGACCACAGTTCGCGTCCTGGACCCGGTGGCTTAAAACTCATGCCGGGCACCTGTGTGTGCGTGCCCAAGATCCCGAGAAGAAAATGGAGGGGAAGGGATTGCGGCGTGACCATCCCCCCGGGGGTGATTTCTCACTTTCTGTCTCTCTGTCTCTCTCTGTCTGGCGAGTGCACGTGCCGTATGGCAAAAACCTCTCCAAAAAAAAAAAAAATCTACTTCCATGGGGTGTCCTCGACTAACCGCAGCTCACAGCCCCATAGCTTATTGTCATTTCCTAGAGACTGCATTGGACTATTTCTTTTAACTATTCACATACATATTTGACCAGTTTATACTTAAAGTTCTTTTTCTTTTTTTTTTTTTTTTTGAGAGGATTTTTTGCTATAGAGCGCGTGCGCTCGCCAGAAAGACAGAGACTGAGAGACAGAAAGCGAAAAATCACCAGCCGGGGGGATGGCCATGCCGCAATCTCTTCTCCTCCATTCTCTTCTCAGGACCTTGGGCACGCACGCACACATGCCCAGTGTTAGGTTAAGCCACTGGGTCCAGGACTCGAACTGCGGTCGACCACGTGGGAGTCCAGCGACATAGCCATTACACTAACTGCTGGTTCCCAATATACTTAAAGTTCTTTGAGAAGCCTAGCCTGGAGGTGCATTCTGCAGCCTGCTGGAAGCCACATGACCACTGCAGGTCTGGATTCCTGGGTCAGCCTGAGATCCCAAGCACCTGGAGTGCTGGGGAAAGGTGATCATGGCGATGACAAGACTTTGTTGAGGGGGTTTCCTCTCACATGTGCTATCATTAAAAAAAGAAAAAAAGGGATCCAGCAGGTGGTATGGTGGTTAAGGGCACTGGACTCCCACATGGCCAACTGTGGTTCAAGTCCCGGACCCGGCGGCTTGCTTTCTCACTTTCCCTCTCTCTCACACTCTGTCCCTCTCTGATCAAATTTAAATAAATAAGGGCTGGCAGATGTCATGGTTAGGGGTGTTAGACTCCCACATGGCCAACGTGGTTCGAATCTTGGACCTGGCAGCTTGCTTTCTCAATTTCCCTCTCTCTCTCACTCTCACTTTGTCCCTCTCTAGTCAAATTAAAATTTAAAAAGTTAAATAAAATAATTCTTTAAAAAATGTAAATAAATAAATTCTTAAAAAAAAGTTCTTCAAAAGCCAAGATCAGATGTTATACTAGACATGCAGTCTGGGTATTAAGTGTCTTAGAGATGTGAGGACTGAATTCGAAATCACAGCAGTAGCACAATGCTGAAGCTGTATAGGAAGGTCCCAGGTTCACATCTCCAGGTCTCCCTGTGCACACCAGACAGGATCCTTGCTGGCTGAGCCAGAGGTCAGAGAATAGGGGAAGGATTGTGGTATGAACACCCTGTTGGGGTTGCTTGTCTCTCTTTTGCTTATGAAAAAAAGAAACTTAAAAATCATTGCAGCAGCTAATGGGAAAAGCACCTGGAAATGCAGCAGGGCTAAAGAGCACAACTTTGGGGTCAGTCCTCAGGTGTGACCAAGCTAGACAGCGAGAGTTGTCTTTATTTTGATTTCCTTTAAATGCAATTAGGGCTGCAAATATATCCCGCAGATGAAAACAGGCTGGGTTATGTAGTTGCTCTACAGTCACCAGCTTCTGCTCACATCTCCAACAGGAAGTAGACACTCCACGTGGGAACAGAGAGTGTTGGGGGCAGTGACCTGCTGTTGCCAAGGCAGGTAGGTCGTTCCTTGCAACAGGATCCAGAGATGAACTGCAGAAACTGGATGTGCAAAACAGCTAGTGCAAAGGTTTGTGTGTGTGTGTTAAAATAGGCCAACTCATCTTTCCGAAGTTTTTCTTTTCGACAGATGGACTTAGATTCTATATACAAACTAGAAAAACCAAACTTGTCTCTGCCTGGAGTTTCAAATAAATGTGGCATGCTTTGCAGTTCTTCTCGCTTTCATGTAATATTCATAATCAGGCTTGTCACTAACACAGCAAAATAACACTTAGAAAATGCCAGTCATTTCACACCTCACTTCAGTAAAAGGATTGGCTTTGAGTATGCAGATTTTTCTCCATTTCTAATTAGGGTTGGCCTAGCTTTTCACTATTTACTGGATGGTGCCTGTGAATTAACACAGCATCTTGAATCTCTCT